ATTTAATTCATGATAGCATTATCTCCTGAGCCATCCAATGGGCAAATGGATCAAAGAGCAACCCTTTGATAAATTTGGCTGGTAAAGTCACGTAGAAATAAGAAAGAATAAAATTACATAATAGCATACGACGTTTCGATTGCAACACAAGCAATCATCATCAGGTAGAGGAAACATATAACCGCAGATATATATACAGACCTTAAGTAGAGGGAATTAACACAGATACACCAGGGGATACAGAGAGAGATGGAGGGGTACACTAAATCAAACAGGGTTTAGCAAAATTTGGAAACTATATAAAGCAACACAGACGGTCGGTTAAAACACAATTTACGCATGGTCTGGTTGATTACGCTATTTCAAAGATTGCTAAATTGTAAGTCTCTTTGCGGTCTGTATTCTATCACTCTTAAATTTCACACTTAACTTACAATTTAGCAATCTTTGAAATAGCGTAATCAACCAGACCATGCGTTAATTGTGTTTTAACCGACCGTTTGTGTTGCTTTATATAGTTTCCAAATTTTACTAAACCCTGTTTGATTTAGTATACCCCTCCATCTCTCTCTCTGTATCCCCTGGTGTATCTGTGTTAATTCCCTCTACTTATGGTCTGTATATATATCTGCGGTTGTTTCCTCTATCTGATGATGATTTCTTGTGTTGCAATCGAAACGTCGTATGCTATTATGTAATTTTATTCTTTCTAATTTCTACGTGACTTTACCGAAATAACCAAAGAGTAATTCCTGCAGTCACGAAAGCGCCGAATGAAGTTCCAATTTGGCTGGTTTTATATAGGCCGAGGTTCCTTATTGCAATACGTACATTATTCTCATATGTATTCATATTGGATCACGTTCATGGAAGTTACCATGACCCCTTGTTACAGAACGGGCAGAGCTAATTATAAAGTCTCCAAAAGAGTAGTATGAGTCACAGTGAGGGGGGATTACACACCTATGGCTTGCAATCGGCATGCCTTTGTTGCGTGGTATTTAGTAATAAAATGGTTGCGGAATGTCTCTTCAGAGTACTCAATCTAAAACGCTGCTTGAGTTGCAGCCTGGATTGATCATTCTATAATTTTAATGGCAGGTTTATTTGAACAGTGAGAGACAGAATAACAACAAAAAAATCCAGAAAAAGTATGTCAAAAATGTTATAAATTGATTTGCATTTTAATGAGGGAAATAAGTATTTGACCCCTCTGCAAAACATGACTAAGTACTTGGTGGCAAAACCCTTGTTGGCAATCACAGAGGTCAGACGTTTCTTGTAGTTGGCCACCAGGTTTGCACACATCTCAGGAGGGATTTTGTCCCACTCCTCTTTGCAGATCTTCTCCAAGTCATTAAGGTTTCGAGGCTGACGTTTGGCAGCTCGTACCTTCAGCTCCCTCCACAGATTTTCTATGGGATTAAGGTCTGGAGACTGGCTAGGCCACTCCAGGACCTTAATGTGCTTCTTCTTGAGCCGCTCCTTTGTTGCCTTGGCCGTGTGTTTTGGGCCATTGTCATGCTGGAATTACCATTTACGACCCATTTTCAATGGCCTGGCTGAGGGAAGGAGGTTCTCACCCAAGATTTGACGGTACATGGCCCCGTCCATCGTCCCATTGATACGGTGAAGTTGTCCTGTGCCCGTAGCAGAAAAACACCCCCAAAGCATAATGTTTCCACCTCCATGTTTGACGGTGGGGATGGTGTTCTTGGGATCATAGGCAGCATTCCTCCTCCTCCAAACACGGCGAGTTGAGTTGATGCCAAAGAGCTCCATTTTGGTCTCATCTGACCACAACACTTTCACCCAGTTGTCCTCTGAATTATTCAGATGTTCATTGGCAAACTTCGGACGGGCATGTATATGTGCTTTCTTGAGCAGGGGGACCTTGCGGGCGCTGCAGGATTTCAGTCCTTCACGGCGTAGTGTGTAACCAATTGTTTTCTTGGTGACTATGGTCCCAGCTGCCTTGAGATCATTGACAAGATCCCCCCGTGTAGTTCTGGGCTGATTCCTCACCGTTCTCATTGCAACTCCACGAGGTGAGATCTTGCATGGAGCCCCAGGCCGAGGAAGATTGAGAGTTATTTTGTGTTTCTTCCATTTGCGAATAATCGCACCAACTGTTGTCACCTTCTCACCAAGCTGTATGGCAATGGTCTTGTAGCCCATTCCAGCCTTGTTTAGGTCTACAATCTTGTCCTTGACATCCGTGGAGAGCTCTTTGGACTTGGCTACGGTGGAGAGTTTGGAATCTGATTGATTGCTTCTGTGGACAGGTGTCTTTTATACAGGTAACAAACTGAGATTAGGAGCACTCCCTTTAAGAGTGTGCTCCTAATCTCAGCTCGTTACCTGATAAAAACACCTGGGAGCCAGAAATCTTTCTGATTGAGAGGGGGTCAAATACTTATTTCCCTCATTAAAATGCAAATAAATTTATAACATTTTTGACATGCGTTTTCTGGATTTTTTTGTTATTCTGTCTCTCACTGTTCAAATAAACCTACCATTAAATTTATAGAATGATCATTTCTTTGTCAGTGGGCAAACGTACAAAATCAGCAGGGGATCAAATACTTTTTTCCCTCACTGTAGAAAGCATGCCACCTTTGAGACAAATAAGTCAGCACTTGCCCGACTGCAGGCATTTTATACAGTAGGGCTCTAAAGCTTATGTTAATACCATTAGACATGCCTGAGAGGGAATGGGATGCCTTGGCCTCTAATCTGATGACTTGACTTGAGGGAGGCAGGGTGAGGGGTTAGTGCCGCTTGTTTGCAAACACAGCCAAATGAGGCGTGTGGGCCAAGGGCCACCCAAACATGATACCCACCTTATTCACATGGCTCTTCACAGCCCCAGAGACTCGGTACTAAACAGCCCACATGCTGCATACACCGATTGCCGTGATGTCCAATCATGGTCTACATGCTCACCAACCACTATGATGGCTTGCGGAGCCCGTGGCTATTGCCGACTATCGCCACCCATTTAACAAAGCGCACGTCCTGCTGCGACATGAATGGTAGAGTCGGAGGCATCAATCGTAGTCGAGCTGCAACTACGCTGTAGACCAACACGAAAAACATCATATAACTTTACGTGGGAGATTGGAATTTTAAACAAATATCCCAAAACCCAGCACACCTCTTGAGAAGAGGGTGAGTGGGGGCTAAGTGCAGGAACTCTATTGGCTGCCTCGCCACTTCCGCCATGCTGTCCTGCTCCCTGTGTTGTCAGAAACGAGAGGCCGGCTTGTTGTTCACCCTGACCCCTTTCCCATAACTCTCCGGTTTCAAGTTGGGTTTCCACTTGTGGACTTTCACTTCCCCGTGCTTCCACACTGCCACGGGGACATGCTGTCAAACACGAGAAGAAATAAATATACAGCGGGCGTTTAAACAAAAAAAAAACACAACGGATTGGTGCTCACAATGTGTGGAATTTGCGCGTGATAAAATGTAAAGAAAACAGGGGAATTATTTTTTTTGTATAATAGGAGCTGGGGCTGCGTCGTCCGCTGCGTGACGCTGTTTTTCGTGAGGGCCGCAGGAACGGGCCGAAGGCGGCAGGCCAAGCAGACTCCGCACGTCGCCTGGACAAAAAACAAAAACTGCTGCTCTCCGGTTTCCCGTAGCTCTGATTAGCACGTTCGGCTACATATGGTGGGAAAGAAGTTCAACGTACGTACGTACGCGAATTGCGCTCACCGCTTAGCCTTTGTGACACAAAACTAAACCGCCTAAAAGGTCATTTTTGTAGGTGCATAATCTCCCTTTACACAAATACATTTCTTCCTTGTTCTCGTTCTCATCGAGCCTTGCAGATTGCGAGATCATCCTATGAATTGTCTCAATGTTGTTTGCGTGTTTAAGAGGCCATCCCGCATATCAAATCCTCGTGGGGACAGAACGTGCATTGAAAAATGCCATTTTTCCCTGCCTTGGTTCGACAAAAACAGCACAGCGACTTTTAACATTGTAAATACTGTGCTAATGGTAGCCGTGTGGTAAATATAAACAGTATTAAACTTTTATCTCAAGGAATCTGTAGCCGAGAGAGGTACATGGAATTGCAAAACTGGATGGAGCTTTAATAAAAATTTGCGCACAAAACCACTAACTTCATAACCACACTTAATATGGAATGGCCACAGCCATATAAACATTCCTGCATATTATAGAAGAAATATGCACATCCGATATGTGGGATCACAGATAAACAAATACATATGTAAGAGTAGTTTTAATCCTGAAGAAAGAACTGATCTGCCACATTCCATGTCGCGGTTATCAGGAAAGCGTTTGCACCGTTTTATTTATTGCATGCCTTACCCTCATGAATAAATCGTAAGAAAGTACTTTCAATGCTTCATGACATTAACCCTTTCCCACTCAAAGACTTCCGCAAGTTGCAAGGTAGGTTCCGTTCACCACTGAATCTCGGAATGCACAAGCAGTTAGCATTAATTTTATTTAGAAAGGCAGAGCGCCGTTGTTTTTAAAGACATTGTACTGACTGCAGAGAACTGTAGTAGCACGACCGCACTCTGATAGCTGCCGCCAAACTGTCCCACACCCCCCTCCCCCCGCATGGCCTTGAGGGAGCCTCGGTACGTCTTCCGACTTGAAGACTTGAAGTCGTACCGATAAAGTTTTCCTTCCGATTCCGTTGTGATGACGGACACGTACGTGTGTGCACAAAAGCGCTAACTTAATAACCACACTTAATATGGAATGGCTCCAGGCAATAATAAAATGCATGCATATAACAGAAAAAAATATGCGCATGTACATCATCGGAACAGAATCAAAAGAAAAACGGATGACGTACATCGTCCCAATTGGGAAAGGGTTATTAACATTACTTGTCATATGGGTTGAAAGTTCTGCTGGAGGTGTTCTGTAAAAAAAAATAGTCCAATGACATTGCCAGAAGTATCGTGAACACATTAAATAATATCGCACGTTAATAAGACAAACCACAAGTGTTCTGTTCAACAGGGAAAATATATTATTTAAAAATGACACGCAAACCCAAACCAACTTTACGGACAACATCCAAACGCACCGTAAAATTGACGTATTAATTTTTTTATATATATAGAAATTACCAGGACGTCATTCTTGAAGACTAATGCGTCCACACGTGGGAAGAAAAAAAAAACACACTCTACAGTATTTTACCAAGTGGCTTCAGCCATAGTCCGCCCTGCAAGACAGTAAACATGAACTTGAAACATAAACATAGACAAAAAAAGATACGTAAAAAAAGACACGTATATTTGTCGTGAACGTGCACTGCAGTTCACAAAGTTTCAGGTCCTCATCAGCAGTGATTCCCTTGGGCTGTCAGGTCACCACGAGGAGCGAAGATAGTCCGTGGAGCAAAGTGACGACTCGGTCCACACACGGGAGCTCTGTGGCCCGGCTCTTCAGGGCTTCCTCCACAGATTTCACAAGACTTACCCTGAAGTCTTCCAAATAGGCCAGTAAGTTATTCTTGTTTTTTTTTTCCCTTTATCTCTCTCTTAACTGTTTTCAACAAGATCAGGCTTACACAAAAAAAAGTGAACGATACATAACCATGCTCTACTGAAAAACAAGGCAATTTTAACGACGGTCAAACGATGTGCTCTTTAAACTTGTGTACAATTGGATAACAACACCAACGGCATCTCCCACTGTCTGAGGCCACAGCAGCCAACGCAGCAGGAGCAGCAGCAGCAGCAGCCCCCCCCCCCCCGCCACCCCCTCTCCGGGCTGTGCCTCAAACAAACGCAACCTTCTCGGTGGCGCTGCCAGACGAGCCCCAGCGTCCAAGGGACCACGGCATCGGCTTGCGAACGCAGCTCACGCCGCCCGCGCCGCCATCCGTCTTCTGCCCGCCGTGGACGTGGCCCCAGGAGGGCGTCAGCGAAGGCCACGCCGGGGGAGGCCTGCGCACTGGGCGGACGCACCCCAGCCGCTCGCACGCCGGGCAGCAGCGGCGGCGGCGGCGGCCTTCCCCGGGCCGCTCGCGGTGGGGCCAGCCGCACGGGAGGCGCCGCCGGACGCCGGCGTCGCGCCGGCGGCAGCGCGACTCGCTGCGCAGCATGCGCAGGGCGAGCACCACGAGCAGGGCGAGCGCCAGGGCGCCCGCCACGGGCACCGCGATGACGGCGGCGCGGAACCAGAGCTCGCGCGAGCCGGCCGCGTCCGCCGGGGGCCACGCCGCGGGGAGGCCTCCGGCGCCGCGGCCGGGACCGCCCGCGGCCCGCGGCGCGTGCTCTGCTGCTGCAGGACCACCAGTGGGGGGGGGGGGGTGGGGTGGGGGGCAAGGCGGGGGGGGCAGCAGGAAGGGAGGAGGCGGAGTGAGAATAGCGGACGCACACGTGGGCCCCAATATTGTGGGAAAAGCTAGAGATGGTGCATGTTTTGCAAGCGCAGTTCTGATATAAGCAACACTTCCTATATCACACTGATGGGGGAGGGGAAGGCAAAGGATAGATTCTGATACAAGCACACTTTGAATATAAGCACATGGAATTGCTCCCAAAGCAGTGTGCTTGCGTTTGGCTACATGGTTATATTTTATAATATAACTTTATAATATAAATCTTGAAAGCCAACCAACTTGTGTTTCATATAGACCATGTTGTTAATGCAACAATAATTGCTTCGTCAAGTTTGTGGTCTTTTTTTGGATGTCACATTATCAACTACAGTCACTGCAGTGACCTCTAAGTCTCTCTGCACCCAGGATGAACTCAAATACATCCAAACATCAATACGGGCATGCACATTAGCAGCCTATAGTCTCTTTACATTATTGCAACAAATGCTGTTGAGGGGCACAATATAATTATGCGGGAGGGCGGTTTCTGCAATGTAATACCAAACTAGATATGAATCTTAGTCTGAGCTAACCCACAAGACACACAGACCAGGTTCAGGTGCATATCGTATGAACCTCGGTCAATGGGGTCATAGCAGGGTTCTAACTATCATGGCACTGATGCACTCACACACCCACAAATGCACGCAAACGCACACACATGAGCACCCATACACACGCGGAATGCAGGGGCTCAGCTAACCACACATTACTCTCCCTCCATTACCAGCAAGGTCACAGGAGACAAGAGCCATTAACCTTTGGGGGTTTTTAAGAATGACTTCCCCGACTTGTCCAAGCATCCTGCCGATGAATTTTTAACCCTTTACATTGAAGCTGCTACACCGTGAATGAAACTGATCTGGGAAGCTACTATGCCGTAGGTCATTGTTTTAGCAGCGATGATAATTAACAATAATAATAACATTGCCAAGTTACGTAGCATGTCAGACGAAGTTGTTTTCCACATTTGTCAGGTCTACCAGCACAAAGAACATGAACATTGTCTTTTAAGAACAGTTTTTTTAAAATATATGATCCTTATGGTGGTACCCCGGGATAGCAAATAATACAAAATGGCCGAGGCAATGAAATATTTTATTTCTGGGACACTATTTTTTTCCAGGGGTGTACTTAACTCCGCGACTAGGGTAACCAATCAATCCGAAATCAGTGCTACTCCGCGATGTCGAAATGCAGCAAAGACGCTCGTAATGCACCGTGGTAGTGCATCGTGTACAGCTCGTCGAGATGAGTCGATTGCCGCATCGTCGACCATCAACAGACTAAAAATGACTGCATCACGGACATTATGCGAGAGCCAGGGTACTATGGTACCCCGGGGTACCGACATAAGGTTCATATATATAATTTGCTATTAAAATCAATAAAACAAGCAGATTAATTATAACATTACATTTGTACATAAAACAAACAGTAGTTTAATAAAGTTGTTTTTTTTTAGATCAAGAAGTCACCTTGGCTAAAGCCAATGCTGCGAGACACCAAACGGTACCAACCATTTGATTGCTCATCAACATTTGTTTCACAACTTGCAGTGTAAATGCACTTTTTGTTGTTGTACGAAAGGTGCTTTTGAATATTAGGAGCAAAATCAAGATTGAAAGAAGATTGATATCATAGCCAGAGCCATTGATGTCACCACACCTCTCTACCTGCAGTTGCTGCACAGTAGACACATGTAAACTCCAAGAAGGCAGCACATGGCACTTACAAACAACACTCGAATTTCATAGCAGCAACCCTTTTCTGGACTTTGCCCACGTCATTTTATCATCAACTACAACCTAATTTGTGAAGTGACAAATGAAGAATATTCCAGAACTCTCAGAGCAAGCAGTTTTACAAATTGAGTCGGGGACCAGCCTTGGAAGATGACATCACAGAACTACATCTGAATCACTTCAATCATCCTCTCTCATTCAACGATCAATGACGTGCCCATATATTCCCTATCAGCAGTGTTTGTCGTGTAGCAATTCAGCCAAAAATGTCGGTGCTTTGGTCCGAGTTGGAATACGTGAATGTAACAACCAAATACTGTATTATGACATTTATGGCCAGTCAACTCGGGAGCAAATGAATATTGTTGACGATCTAAACGTTTTTTCTCTCCAAAAGCATGTATATTGAACAACCAATTCAGGTACACACAGAGGGCATGTATGGGAATTGACACCAATAGCATAGATACAATGGAAAGTACAACGATTATTACCAAGGTTTTAGATTTAGAACCTATCGATGCCATGTGTTTAAATAAACTCAACATCCCTGGTGTCTTATTCCTTAACTCGGATAACCCTATAGGGGAAGCATGAGGTGCGGGGGAGGGGGGGGTGATCTCTATGTATGTACAGTGAGGGAAAAAAAGTATTTGATCCCCTGCTGATTTTGTACGTTTGCCCACTGACAAAGAAATGATCAGTCTATAATTTTAATGGTAGGTTTATTTGAACAGTGAGAGACAGAATAACAACAAAAAAATCCAGAAAAACGCATGTCAAAAATGTTATAAATTGACTTGCATTTTAATGAGGGAAATAAGTATTTGACCCCCTCTCAATCAGAAAGATTTCTGGCTCCCAGGTGTCTTTTATACAGGTAACGAGCTGAGATTAGGAGCACACTCTTAAAGGGAGTGCTCCTAATCTCAGCTTGTTACCTGTATTACAGAACCTTTCCACAGAAGCAATCAATCAATCAGATTCCAAACTCTCCACCATGGCCAAGACCAAAGAGCTCTCCAAGGATGTCAGGGACAAGATTGTAGACCTACACGATGCTGGAATGGGCTACAAGACCATTGCCAAGCAGCTTGGTGAGAAGGTGACAACAGTTGGTGCGATTATTCGCAAATGGAAGAAACACAAAACAACTGTCAATCTCCCTCGGCCTGGGGCTCCATGCAAGATCTCACCTCGTGGAGTTGCAATGATCATGAGAACGGTGAGGAATCAGTCCAGAACTACACGGGAAGATCTTGTCAATGATCTCAAGGCAGCTGGGACCATAGTCAACAAGAAAACAATTGGTAACACACTACGCCGTGAAGGACTGAAATCCTGCAGCGCCCGCAAGGTCCCCCTGCTCAAGAAAGCACATATACATGCCCGTCTGAAGTTTGCCAATGAACATCTGAATGATTCAGAGGACAACTGGGTGAAAGTGTTGTGGTCAGATGAGACCAAAATGGAGCTCTTTGGCATCAACTCAACTCGCCGTGTTTGGAGGAGGAATGCTGCCTATGACCCCAAGAAAACCATCCCCACCGTCAAACATGGAAGTGGAAACATTATGCTTCGGGGGTGTTTTTCTGCTAAGGGGACAGGACAACTTCACCGCATCAAAGGGACGATGGACGGGGCCATGTACCATCAAATCTTGGGTGAGAACCTTCCCTCAGCCAGGGCATTGAAAATGGGTCGTGGATGGGTATTCCAGCATGACAATGACCCAAAACACACGGCCAAGGCAACAAAGGAGTGGCTCAAGAAGAAGCACATTAAGGTCCTGGAGTGGCCTAGCCAGTCTCCAGACCTTAATCCCATAGAAAATCTCTGGAGGGAGCTGAAGGTTCGAGTTGCCAAACGTCATCCTCGAAACCTTAATGACTTGTAGAAGATCTGCAAAGAGTGGGACAAAATCCCTCCTGAGATGTGTGTAAACCTGGTGACCAACTACAAGAAACGTCTGACCTCTGTGATTGCCAAGAAGGGTTTTGCCACCAAGTACTAAGTCATGTTTTGCAGAGGGGTCAAATACTTATTTCCCTCATTAAAATGCAAATCAATTTATAACATTTTTGACATGCGTTTTTCTGGATTTTGTTGTTGTTATTCTGTCTCTCACTGTCCAAATAAACCAACCATTAAAATTATAGACTGATCATTTCTTTGTCAGTGGGCAAACGTACAAAATCAGCAGGGGATCAAATACTTTTTTCCCCTCACTGTATGTTGAACTTATTTCGCACCAACAATGGTGCAGTTCTCACCGGAGCTGTCTGCACGAGCCGGCAGTGCAGGCAGCCGGTCGCTCAGCGCGTTGTAGTTGCACATGTCGTCCTGGCAGCAGCGCACGACCGGCCAGCGGCCCGTGTGGTTGCGGGGGCGCGGCGCGTGGCACGGGTGCGGCGGCGAGGGCGACAGGGCCTCGATGCAGCCGTGCGCGAGCGGCGAGCGCGGGTCCGTGGGCTCCAACAGGCGACGGAAGCACACGGACATCTCTGACTTGCACATGTAGCCCGTGGGCACGCAGTGCGCCGCGTCGCAGTAGCAGCGGATCTCGCCTGCATGCACAGTGGTATCAGTGTCAGCATCATGGTGGCGAGATATTATCTCCATCGCCCAGCATAAAGGAAGTCGTGGGTTCCATCCGGACCCTGACTCCTGTGGTATATTTGTATTCTTTGGTTCTTTTGGTAAAGTCACGTAGAATGAGAATAAAATAATAAATTGATAAAATAAAATAACACAATAATATTCTCACGACGTTTTGGCCACAACACAAGCGGCCTTCATCAGGTGAAGGGACGAGACTGTCTGGTAGGACAGCGCTGGAGTGAAAGAGCCACGTTCAGATCACGGCCTTTAAGCTGTGTGAGAGGAACAAAGCGCCTTGACAAAGGAATTAGCATATAATTTAGCATTGAAATGGCTGAATGATTAGCTTGTGACTGGTCACAGAAATAGCTATGTTAAAAGTTAAAGCATACACATCCGCAGAGGCACCCCTTGATAAAGGAATGTATATTTGTAGTTTGAATGTTCTCCCAAGGTCGTGTGGATTTTTCTCCGGGTCCTCCAGTTTTTCCCCTCCACATTTACAAAAAAAGCGTTTAGATTATTTGGCTGCTATAAATTGATAAGCCACTTTGTTGAGCTATCATTTGTGGCCAGGTCGCCTCTGAAAAAATAGCTACATAGCTCTAGTAAAATAAAAAGTTGTATTTGTTTTGTGCAGTTGATCATCATAATTACCATCCATATCATCACCAGCACTTGGGCAAACCTAAACCGCATCAACACAAACAATGCCAGGAGCAAATGGAAAATAAAACAACTCTTTGCTCAGTGTGTGGTGACTGTGGTCGCACAGAACAGATCCTTGTAACAAATCATGACTCAATGGCTGATTCACAAATAGGAAGGAGGCATCGTCACAGAGATACGCTCCGCTAATTCCAGACGCAATCATCTGGCTCAACCACATCATGCATAATAGTTGTTGCTCTTCGTCTCTACATCAGCCATACGAAGGAGGAGGTGGAGGCTCGCCAATACTTGAGCTGGATAAACTGTTGAAAGTTCATATATGTAGGTTTTTGTAGTTGTGCTGCATAGCTCTCAGATACATTTTTGGGTTTCTCTGGATACAGCAGTTTCCTCCAAGATGAAGTAAATAAATAACGTCACCCAGCCTACAGCAGAAATCAGCAGCAGAAATCAGCAGCAGAAAGCAGCACCAGCTCACAATGCTGTATAATTGAGGGAAAATACGAGCTGGTCAATTACATTCTTGAAGAAGCTCCCAGCACCTGGAGCGTTGAAACGTCAGGCCCGAAAAACATGCAAGTACAACCCGCAACGCATGAGAGAGCTGTTGAAGTCATGGAGTTTGACTGGCAGGGCGATCATTTGACTATTTTTCAACTCCCTCGAGTGCTAAGTTTTCATTCACCAGATATTCTATGCAGCATGTGCGGTCAGCTTGCCCTTAATAAACTTTGGTCAGAGCACGTATTTTTTGGTGGCTAAAAGTAGTGGAAATTCCACATTATTATGGCAGGGTCCAGTCCTTTATCAGGACAACCACTGTTGGCTTCTAAAATAATGTATTTGCTGTTATACGTTTTCTACTCCGAGGCATAACTCCTTGGCCCAATGTCATTTAAGAGGTTATCTTCTGCCACACAGTAGACTGCTTGTGTTCGCTGTGTAGAAGAGAGAGTGCTTCACTCAATGGGAAAGGTGTGTCAGAAGGGCCTGCACTGGATGTAGCTCCAGAGGAGTCCTCGATTGAAGGTAGTTTGGCCTACTCTTCAACGATGTGCCAGACATCTAGGAAGAGGATTACCCACACTTTACGCCACCAGAAGTGACCTGCTCATCGCAAAACTGGAGTATTCATGTTTACTGGTGGGTTGGCAGTGGGGGGGGGGTGGATTTTAAGGAGACCTTCCCATTTTATTTGATCAATTTATTATTTTATTCTCATTCTACGTGACTTTACCGAAAGAACCAAAGAAGATGAATCATTGCAGTCACGAAAGCTTTAAATCGAAATTTAGACCTTCCCATTGTTTCGTATGTACTGTATGTTGACCTTCTGTCGCACCGTGCATAGCCACTAGTGCTAATCGGAGATATGGGGGAAGGACAACAAACTAAACACAAAAAGCAGTTCTAAATAAATGAGTTTTCAATATATATGATTTAAAAGTGCATAGCTTCAGTGGCTTCCTAATATTGGAAGGAAGAGCGTTCCAGACGGCCGCAGAAGTGCTTCTGAAAGCGCGATGCAGTAACCGTCTTTGTTCGATGGTGAACCAAAAGCCGCTGCGAGGATGACGGGAGTCCGTGTGATGATTTATGCTCCTTGACGAGATCACCAAGGTATTGTGGTTCGTTTGTGGCAAGCAATCTGTGTGTGTAATGGGTACTGGACGGACATGATCGGATTTTGCAGTACCCGTCACGACATGCGCCAAGGGATTTTATACACGCTGGACCTTGGTAATGTTTGTTGCCAGACGTCCTCTTGAGTAGTGAGTTGCAATCATTGAGCCTTGGCGATAGTATGCTACACGCCACTGTGATGGCTACATTACAACTCAATAGTGCTCGAATGTGCTGGGAGATCGAATCAAACCGGCGACCTGTAGATGTCAGGTCCAGTGTGCTGAACAGTGCACCATGATGGCAGCACCTTTCTCAATGTGCATTTAATAAACATGCTATTGGTGTTGGGACTGAAAAAGAATGTGCTCCAAGATTTACAATGACCGAGTTTTCACAGCAGTAATTTGTGACCTCGCTGAGCAAATCAAATTATTTTTGAAATGTTTCAACATTCTTGCACACTTAGGTATACTTTCACGGAAACACACAAACACAAAAAATGTTTGCAAGCTTCTTTCTGTAAATGTCCCTTAACACAGCTTGGCTATTTTGGCTCGTGAAAGCAGTGCACACGTCATAATTTCACACTCTCCAGCCAAAAACCATAAACAATGACACACGGGTGAGTGATTGAGTGTGACCAATGAATTTTGAGTGATTGAGTGTGACCAATGAATTTAGCATTCCAGAGCAAGAATTGTCCAAGTAAAATGTTCACACATTGCTATATAATTGTGAATTAAATATATAATACATGCCCAAGGTGTAGAGAAATATGGGACACATAAACATTCAACGTTTGTTAGGCAAACTTCAGCTATGTCAAATAAAAACTGTCAAAATAAAATTTGTAATGATAAAATGTGTTGTAAAATGTTATATTGCAACACCAACGTTTACTTAAACTAAGTTCCAATAATTAACAATGGACAATTTCAACAGATGTTTTGTATACGCATAGTAATGACATGAAACTTCTAATTCATTTGGTCTGACAGAAGGTTACTGCCGAACGTTGTGATACAATGATTGTGCATTAATTGGCATTTGGTATTTCAATTGGTATTTAATTCGATATGTTAACTCCCTCGCCTCGTATACAGGAGGTCGTGAGTTCGATCCAGACCCTGACACCTGTACATTTGGAGTTTGCATGTTCTCTCCGTGGTCGCGTGGATTTTTCTCCGGGTCCTGCAGTTTTCCCTCCACATTTACAAACATGCTTTTAGAGTGTATGGCTGCAATACATTTCCGCGTGATTATCCACTCCGTTGAGCTATCATTTGTGGTCAGGTCGCTTCTGATAAATACCTATATAGCTCAGTGGGCCTTACGAGGTAAAATAAAAAATAGATTTCTTTTTTTGGCCTCCGTGTGTCTTAGTGTAAGGCTTTCGTTGAATGTATGACTCACTGTTTGGCGCGCAAAGCTTGCCACCTGCGAGAACCCTACGATCACCACACTTCAGAACATAAACGTTTACGCAAAGAAAAGCAAATACCATAATAACTCCCAGCTTGACACTGAAACAAACAGAAAACAATCCAGCAGTGCCCTGTAACAGCGCAACATTGCATTCCTTTTGCTTGTGTTCAATAAGATTCGATTACTTCGAAGGTATAGTATTACGTGAAATTAGGGTGTACGTTTATTTAGAAACCGTTTGTGATTTGAAAAAAAAGAAAAACTAATGATTGCATGCTTCCTCCTTTTCATGTGAGATTAACGTTACGCTCGTGAAAAAAATATTTAGCGCCAATGGACACTTTCAATCGATTTGCTGAAAGGAAGGCGAGGTTAAGGAGGAGAGAGAGAGTGATTGAGGAAGAGATATGGATGAGAAGCAGTGAGGGATGGAAAGAAAGCAAGAGGTATGGATCTAAAGTCTCGGCGAGAATACAGTCCACAGAAAACAAGGAAACACGCCGTGTCTGCATGTGTGAGTAGATCGATGTTTCTCTGCTGCAAGTAAGAGGAGAATATGAAGCAAACGGGAACATGGTCGGATTAATATTAGAGGGGCAAATTCTGAGATGATAAAAACCACAGCATAGATAAGCAATGTCTCGTTCATAGATCTGTCTGTCCACATAACAAAAAATCGTGTATTTTGCACAGTATGTCGGCCTCCCATTAGCCCGACAGCTTTCTGGGCGTGCATAATTTCAGCAGCATTGGTCCAATACAAGCAGACTAGTTATGACATCCAGGCTCATTGGCAGTCAGGCTTATGAGAACCAATGCTGGTGAATAAACGCACATATATAAGGAACCCAATAACAGGAAACGAAGTGTATCAAGTCTGCCTGTTTGCTCAAATATTAATTATTGATTGCCTACAAGCGAGGAATGCAATTAAAAAAAACAAAATAAGGTAACCTCTTGTTGTCCTAAAACTTGATTTTAAGCTTTCGTGACTGCAGGAATTACTCTTTGGTTTTTTCGGTAAAGTCACGTAGAAAGAAAGTAACTTAAATAATAGAATACGACTTTTCGATTGCAACACAAGCAACCGTCATCAGGTAGAACTAAATTTGAGAGAGAGAAAAAAACACAGACACGGAGACACACAGACAGACACACAACACAGAGACACACAGAGAGAGACACAACATAGACACAGAGACCCAATGCCTTTGTGTCGAGGCCTTAAATAGAGAGAGAGGGG